CTGATCTTCTTGCTTTTTTCTGAGGCACATTCGGACCGTCTCTTGGTTAAAGTGAACTGGTTGTGGTTATTTTGCGTGAGAAGAGGCTCCTTGGTATAATAGAATGTGCCCGTGCACTGAGGTGTCATTTTGAAACCGGTGATAGTCAACTGTTCATGACGCGCGAGAAAAACGGAAAAGTCGCGGATGCGATCGTCAACTGTCTCTCCGTGGGTATCTTGTCTACCGGTTCGTGGAGTCGCGGACTGAGTCATGGCCAGCCGCGACGGCGACTCGACGACCTGTTGAGGCAAGCGAGTGGTGGAGGCATACAGTGGCGCATCTTGCCGGGGGATTTTCACTTTAATCAAACTCGACTCATTCGTTCATGTGACAGAATAGCGCGACTGCAATAAAAAAGTAAATAATCCTGTTTATCCGATGCAAAGTAGTAGTTGTGTCGCCCGGTTCTCGATAAACAAAGATTAAGCGTGTTAGAATGAGTAGTGAAATAATGGTGGAGAGTCCTCCAGTTTCCATACTTTTTTTTCCATACACCAAGTATGGAAACTGTTGTGGAGTTAATGACTCAGCAGAGATGGGAGCAGTATTCTAAACCAGGAGTTTACACAGGGTGTTGGAGTAAGAAGATAGAAAGCGTTCATGCTAAGCTACGTTCTTAGTATGTTTAGCTTTTGGCACAGGTTAGAGTGAAAACTTTGATGGCAAAGGATTTTCATCTATCAAAGCCCCTGATAAGGTCTTAAAAGCATCAGACTGTACTATATTCCTACATCGTTCAGGCTATAATAACCTACAGGGGTCGCGTCATAGAAATAGCTTCTGCTCTTCATGAACAATCCATACAGATCGGCATGCTACTCTAAATGCCTGGATGTGGAGTACTGCCATCCAGCAAAACCGTGGGTTGATCCATGGGCAACGTTCAGAGCTGTAAGAATTGAGGAGCGTCTCATATCCTTCTCGTTTTCACCCTTTGTCTAAGATATAAATATTATCAATGTATATAGAAACAATTCTTTTGTTTTTTTCATATAGTTTATATAAAAATAAACCACTGGAATAACAAATAATTTATATAAAATAAAGGTTTAAGACTGAAAACTGAAGAAAAACCCATCACTTAGGATAAATATCTTACGGACAAGTTTGCCATCCAACAGTAAGATCTGCTCAGGAAGTACAGATAATAAGAATCTTTTGTGAGATCAAGAGACTCTTCCAATGATTGGATGAGCTTATAGAAAATTTGTGACGTAAGCTAAAAGTTTTTTTTTGCTAATCCTTAAATTTTCATGTAACTGTTGTTCCCAGACATGCCTATAGTTGTTTGGATCGGAAAGTGATTCTGTCCCGGTTGAATGAATCTGATATTTTTATGAGTTAAATCGGATGTAAAGAAGGATTTGCGAAATTACCGTTAACAGTGACCTTCATAGAACCATTTATCTTGTTAAAATAGTGTTATGTTAATCACTAATGATTAACATAACTAACCTAGAAAATGTTTTGCTCCGCCCATGGCAGCGGAACCGCCACACGCGGTTGTCAAGGCAACCTGCACTGTTTGATTAGGTTGAGATGCAAGTAGTGGCGGCTCCCCAGGTGAGGTAGTACCTGGTGCAGTGGCGGAGCACAAAAGACCAGCAGAGGATCTTGTTAGTACTTTTGGCTTGTTTCGAAATTTTGTTTCTTTAATTTACTCGTAATAATTGCGTAGTAAATTTGGCATAGATATCATCTGATTGTTGATCTTATCAATCTATTTAAATAAATTGCATCCATCTTTGTTAACAACTCCTTTATACAGGGTGCTTCCTAATTGAATGTTTCAGGGGGTCCAATTCAAGAAGAAAACTTCATAAGTACGTATGTCCTCAACTTTAGAAATACAGGGTGATAGTTTACCAAAATAAATAATTTAATTATTGGGATCTGTAATACCTACCACTTTTTTGACATACCAGATTTTTTTACAATTTCCACTAGATGCACTTTCCGACCATTTCTAAGCAAATTGATTGACTTTTTAATCCTAGGCACTGTAGTCTCTTAGACGAATAAAAACTATTTTTCTTTTAATAAAGCTTATTTTCCTAAGGGAAAACCGTGCGTCAGACTGAAGAATTGAAGGGATCAAATCTGCTCATAATCATTTATGAGCACGGATTCATATCCATATTTCAATTTTTTTATTTAAAGAAAAGCCAGTGGCGTACCTAGCGTTTTATTTTTGAAAACTTTACGACCCTGTGTCTCAAAATTTAAGACATTTTCTGGGTGAAGCAGAACCAAACAAATTTTGACCATACTATCAGGTATTCATAATCTGCGACATACCACGTCAAATGGAATAGTCAAACTAGAAAGCATCGATAAAACGACAAGTCCATGCTTTTGAGTTTCTGATAGCGATGTGTATGGCTAAATTTGGGGACTTTTTGGAAAAAGACACCACACATAAAAATACAATTTTATTGAAGTAATCGAAGTCCGTTTTTAACAAGCCTGTAGTAAATCCCAGATAACAGAAAACAACCATATTCTGCTAAATGAAAATCATACAACAAATACGCATAAATGTAATAAATTCTCTCATAATGCTCATGCTTTCCATGGAAACTCTGGATGGTCCACCAGTCTGGAAAAGAACAAAGTACGATGTTACATAAGCAAAAAAAGTCATTCCAGCAAAGGACTAACATAGATAATAATAATATTAATGATAACAATAGTGATAATATTAATAATAATAAACGTGTTTATTTATAACTAACATACCAACAATAAATTATAAATGGGCGAAGTTTAGCTACAGCTATTCTTCCACTTAATCCTCAAATAAGTTACAACGAATTTAGATTAGTAAAAAGTTATATATAATACAATAACAATAAAAGCACTGAGAAAACAGAAATAATAATATGTACTGGTATATGTGCAGAAGCTGATATATAGACTGTTTTGATATCGTGAACCATGGCCAATGGGTGCATAAGCGACAAAAATATCATAATTTACTCACAAATATTAGTTTTTAGTGCAACAAAAATAACGAATCATTAAGCTTTCCGCTGCGTAATTTTTGCCAACGGCCGCAAATACCAAAGGGATTTTATGACCACTAAAGAGAACCGTGGTAATTTAACAATATTGGCTACTGACAGTCATGATTATTTTTTTCGACTTTGATGTGAAGCCAACCCCAAAATTTCAAAACATTGTTAACTTTTTTATAGAAAAGTTGCGGTTATATTTGTGTTTAAGCCGTACAAGAAATGAATAAGTTTAGAATCATAGAACTACAGAAGGTCAAGTAACCACACAACCAGCAGAACTACGATAAAGGGCTACTTGCCACATTGCATAATATACAGGGTGACTTCGAAGTTGAGTCATTTATTTTAACAGTGAGTAGATCTGATCAAAAGAAATGTTTTTTTCCTTTACCATTTTTCTGGTAAAATTAAAGTAACAAAGTTATAGCCCTTTGGAAGTTTGAGTACTGCCCTGTCTCAATAATAATATGTTCGTGTTTGGCGACAACGGATATAATCCGCCTGACCGGTTCATCGCATCGGAAACAAAAAAGCGAAAGAATTTGAAACGTTTATCACGATGTTTTTCGTCAGTCGATAACGCGTTAGTGAATAGTAGGTAGTGTTTGTTGCGTGGCTCAAACGAAATCAAAAATAGCACATGTTTACGAAAATGCTGAACTTGTGGACATGATTCTTATTTACAAAATTTACAAAATGCTCCCGGATGCATCACGGATTTATGCGAATCGGTTTCCCAATCGAGTGCAATCAACCCCTCGTGCCTTTGTTAATGTAGTACAAAGGGCTCGTGAATCAGGTGACTTAAGACCTCACAGGTCAGGGCATGCTGCTCCAAGACCGCACGATCAAATACAGGTCCGCACTGAAATACTTGTCGGGACGATACTTTATTAAACAAGGTAACATTTTTTTTTATTTATTTTTTTATTTTTACACACATATTTTGGTTTGTCTTCCTTCTACAATCATTATCTGAAAATAAATGACTCAACTTCAAAGTCACCCTGTATAGCAAAAATCAATTTACTCACAACACTGTCTATATATTTTCATCTCTAATCTAAAACACATATTTCCATTATATTTTAACTATGTTTATATAATTATTATAATTAAGCTTTTCCAGTCTTACTTCTGTCAACTGCGCTAAATAAGGAAAATATAAGTTTACGAAAGCCCTCTTGTATTTTCAGTAGCTAAGGGAGCAGCAAACAAAACTATTTATTAACTATTTCATTGCTAAGAGCAATCCTGAATTGGGGTATATATTTTCAGAAATGCTCAAATTGTCAAAATGTAGATTGGATTATTCCGGACAGAGACGTCACGATTCACGACATTTTCAAACACCTCTACTCTCAAGTTTTATCTACTAGGATGCTGCCATAGCCTTTGCTAGGCACATGCTTGCTAAATCACCCAAGTGAAGATCAAAATAAAGAGACTGCAACCACCATTTTTCCAAACGGTTTGATCCCTATTTTGTTAAAAATCGTGAATGTACTATGTAGATGTATGCAGTACTTTCCAAGAAGGATCCCAACTACTTATTTTTTTGAACGGGTCAAGTTAATAAGGTGAAATTCGGGGTGATCAAATTATTGCATGAATACTATATTTTAGCGTAAAAACATTGATTAACATATTCTACCTACCAACTTAATGCTATATTCGCGAATCCGACAAATTTACCAGAGATGAAATGAAACACTCTAGCGTCATCTATATGAAAATTTGTCAAAGCTATGTTTCTCCCCTCCGCAATAATTGGGAGAATTTTTTGAGAAGGTTTGTGCTTCGTAGATACTAGATGTTCGTATATAATTGGCTACAGCGACATCTATATGACAGTAACGTTTTCAAAGTTGATTCCTAATGATTGCGGGAAGGAGAAAGGTAGCTGTAACAAATTACCATAGATGACGCTACGGTATCTCACGCCTTCTTGAAAAGCACTGTATGAATAATTTTTACTTGATTTTTCTGAAGGTTACAAAGGAGTAAGATGAAGCTCAATCGACCCCAGAATTTTATTGAGAGAACCAAAGTTCTTGGGACCAAAGTAGTATTACGACAAACCCCGACCATGGGACGCCATTTGCCAACATTATTTCATGACCTCAAGCTCTGAGGGTCGGTTTTTCAATCGCAGTTAAACTGTAACTTCACTGCGAACCGAACGGCAACTCTCAAAAAGGGTTAAGCAATGTGAGGTTTGTCCTAAAATGGTGGTTAATTTAAACCAGATGGTTATCCACTGGCTAACTAGAAAGTTGTAGTTATGACGCAATGTCTAATTTTTTTTGTCAGTCAGACATCACAGATTATACGAGATACAAATAGCATTAATCACGAAACTTGCACAACTTGATAGTTTTGTCATAAAGCAACGTTGCCACATGGACAATATGTTTCAAGACTTAAAAAGTAAATTTTCAATCCATTACAAGCAAATTTAACTTCCTAGTTATAGTTACCCAACTTGAAAATTAGCATGCGATGGAAAAACTGCAGCTTAGAGGTCAATACACGCACGACATGTTGGACAGCTGTTTTTAGTTTTTTTATGGGAGCTTATTGTAATGCATTCGTAACTAGAACTTTGACTACCCTGATATATCGGTCACCAGAATCACGCACAACGCAAACGTTCGCCATCTACGAGGCATCGATGAAGACTCGAGTTGTCTCTGGAAGATGCGGGAACGTTTCTGGACTCGTCGATCAAAAAACAGATACACACACAAAGTGCTGAAACGGGCAGAGGCGACCGACAGCAGATGATGAGTCAACAACGCGGAATCAATGGTCCAGTCATAAATTTGTAATAAATGAGTTGCAAGTGTTGTAATAAATTCGTGCGAGTAATACATTAGACTGCAAATAGTAAGAAATATATTTTCCTTACATTATAATAAAGGTACGTTCCCATTATAAGTTTGCAACTATACATGTTGCACAGCATGTGCTTGCAACCTGTTAGAGTAAAACAATATTTGCAGAAAAACCATTTTCACTTACGCGGGGAAGAACTTCCAGTCACAGATTCTGGCCGATTCACCAATATCCAGTTCTGATAGTTTCTTCATGTCTCCAGCATCAAGATTGAAGTCAAACACCTCGATGTTTTCCTTGATCCTCGAGGGATTCACACTTTTGGGTATCGGGACAATGTTTCTTTGAATCAGGAACCTCAACATGACTTGACCAGGAGATTTTCTGTGTTTTTGTGCTACTTGTTTCACGACTGGGTTCTGAAGCATGTTCGGGAGTTCCTTTGGCCTGGAAGATAAAGACAAATTCTTGAATCCGTACTAACCTTTATCTTTGTTAGCTAAAACTAAATTAATTACACTGTAGTTGCTGAAAATAAGTCAATAGCTCAATATGATGAGAATATTGTTTTGTACTCTAGCTGGAGGCATCTAGTTACTTCGAAATTCATAAACAATTTTTTAGTATTGTTTCGTGGTAATTTTGTTTGTCCTGTATATTTGAATTGGTCTTTTGAATATTGTCGAAGGATAAGGATAGTACTGTTAGAAGCTTTTGCAGAATCCCTTTTTGAATTTTGCCTTGTGTCTTGGAAACAGTGCATAATAGATAATCCAAGTCTTAGATGAATTTTGCACTTTGGAGGAGATTCGTCTCACTTACTTCTGTCCAACAGATTTCAGGAAATCGTTGTATCCAGGAGCGCCCAATGGACAATATGCGACAACAACAATCCCGTTTTTGTGGCAAAAGTCCACCAATTCTTTCTGCTGCATGGCAGCATGTATTTCTATCTGCAAGCAAGCTGGCTTTATTCTGCAGCATTTGAGTATTCTCTCTATTTGTCTTATGTTAAAGTTTGATAGTCCAATCGCTTTTGTTCTTCCTGCATCCACCTGCTCTTCCATTTTCTGCAAAATCAATTACTAATATCAAAGGCACATAATATACAGGGTAGTCTAAGATAAATGCACTAAATCCTACATCAAGTTTCGCCTAACAATTACTCACTATCGCAAAGCTTGAAAGTTAATTTCCTGTGCAGGTTTTGAAGCACCATCAAGGTGATAATAGTTAAGCGAATCAGTAGAGAAAATGAGTAAGTTTTGATGGTCTTAAAAATTGATCCAATGGCGGTGAAGCTACGAGCAAAAGACGACTACAGTAAAAATCGCTAAATCTCCGTTTTTCGGCGTTCCAGAGACAGTTCATCATTTTCAGCAATGTTTGGAGTGGCTGGAAATTATGGGTTGGGGTTGTAAGGGCTTGGTTGGTAGTAAATTTTTCATCTTTGGTGTCAATGAAAGCTGTTTTATCATCAAGAAGCATCTGATACCAGTAATACTACACACCTATTAGACATGATAGATATATATTTTTCATACATTTGCCATTGAAACAAAAATGTTATGGATTTATTTTCTATAGTATCATATGTAATAGTTTACAAAATGACGTACTTCCATTTGAGTTTTTTTAATAGATTGGACCTATTCTTTTTTTTAATATAAAAATGGTAACAGAAGTCGCAACGAAGGCGTCGGAAGTATAGAGTCAATCTACTTGATGTCATTTTACAAACTCTACCGTTCTGGTCAATTTATGACGAAACCATTTTTTGTACAATTGTATCTATCTCCACTTGATATTTCAAACACTTAAAGCGACACCAAAAACAAAAAGTATGTAAATCACGTTGGTGATGAAAATTTACCACAATACCTTTGAATTTCTCTTGGTAAAAATACAAAATACTACAACTAAGTTGAAACCTCTAATTTGAAATTCACCCGACGACAATGATTTCCCAACTACGAAAAAAAAGCGGAAAACTTACCTTCCACAACTCCACATGATCAGTATGCTCCAGCCTCATTTGGGATGCTGGAGGTACCACATGCCCCTCCACGTAGTTGACGCCCACTGGGAAGTGAACCAAATACAAATCAAGATACTTCAAGCGCAAGTCTTCCAAGGATTTCTTCAACATCATTTCAACCCTGTCTGGGTGAATCCCGCTCACCGCTAGCTTAGTAACGATATATAGGTCATCCCTTTTGACCTTCCCAGCCGAGATCCACTGGTGGAGCACCCTCCCGATGATCTTTTCGTTTTCGTAGAAGAATGCGGTGTCAATGTGGCGGTAACCACATTCTAGAGCTGCGTCAAGGGCTGTCTCTAACTCTGTTTCATCGATAGCCTAGAATTGAATATCAGTCAAGAACCATAAGCTTAGACTCTCATATTCCTTGTTTTCTTTTACTTCCCACACATAAGCAAATGAAGTATTGTGATCGCGATTTTTTTCGAGTTTCAGATAGGAAGTTCTTCTGATGTTGACAACAACAAATTCTTGTTAATTGTTAGAAAAAATATTTTTGTTGCTGAATCTCTTAAATGGGCCAGATCGTTCTTAGTTCAAAGATAGCAATATGTTTCTGAACAACATCTTGATGCAATAACAATATGAAAAACTTTGTCAGATACGTTAGGCATTACCTGTATGTTAATCAGTTTGATAATAGTCATCCAGATACTCATTTTACAACATATGCTGATGACATTTTCGCCATAACCTTAAGTAATTCAGATATGATCCTGTAAAATGAATGTAACCACTTGATACGGGATATCCATACGTGATTTAACCAGTACTACTATACTTGCATCCATTCAAAACGATGCTTATTCGTTTACACCATGCACAAAAAACTAGAGAAGAGAAACTGCGAATTCCTATACTGACAATAAACTCTCAAAGCTATGGGCTGAGGCTATTAAAAACCAACTTATCGGCTGAACAACTGATACAAGTTTATTTTGTTAACGTGGATTCAAGATTGAGGTATGGGGTACGTTTCTGGGGTTGGTCAACGCGCTCTGAAGATGTATGTGTATTACAAAAAAGATGCAGCCGATCACTGGCAGGAATTGCACCAACAGAATGTTGCATAAAATATTTTTTAGCTTTTAAAATTTTAACTGCCCCTGGGTTGTATATACATACTGCAACAAAAGTTGGGAACGCATCGAATATCTCATGAATGACGCATCTATTTTTTTTTAATTATTATTATTATTATTATTATTATTAAACATCAAATTTGAGTTGAGTACAAGTAGGTACTATAAACTCAAACACAAAAATAGATAGTAGTGTACAGACAAAAGAAATATAACAATTTGACAATCTTAGCACTTCTGAAGTAGACATATACAGAATGGGAACAATATGTTAAGCACTGCGGTGTCTATCATAATTGTTTTTGAAACTGTTGACGGATTCCGAGTTCACTACATAAGATGGAAGACTGTTCCATGCATCGAAGACACGGTTTGAGATGAAGCGCTGACGAGTAGAGGTTCTAAAAGCTTCCTTCTGCAATTTGAAGTTATGGCCTCTGAGACTGTTCGTTGCCAGACGAAACAGATGCGACATGTCCACACCAAACAAATTATGCAGTGCTCTGAAAGTGATGATGAGATCTCCTCGTACTCTTCTATCAGCAAAAGCAGGCAGGTTATATAGCTCGAGGCGGTCTTCATAACTTGGCCTACGTGTGCCATATGGCAAACGTGTAGCACGACGCTGAACGGCCTCTAATAAGCTGCTATCGCGAACAAGGTTTGAATCCCATACCGGACCAGCAAACTCCAGTAGGGGTCGTACGAAAGTTGTGTACAAAAAGGAGGAGGTACTAACGGTGCAACCGCTAAATGATCTTTCCATCATATATAACAACCGCTTTGCCTTAGAGGTTATGTTCTGAATGTGCTCCGACCAGGTGAGCCGGCCATTAACTGTCAGACCAAGATCTGTGTGATGAAGAACAGTCTCTAAGGTATGTTTGCCAATCTTATATGTTAAGTTAGGATTATTCTTTCCCAGGTGGAGAACGTAGCATTTCGATAGATTTAAAGGCAGGAGCCAAAGTTCTGACCACTTTCTGATCAGCTTGAGGTCTTCTTGAAGCACAGATGAGTTCATGACAGTGTTATAGACTTTAGTATCATCTGCATAGATGGAACACATAGAATAAAGTCGGGTGGGAAGGTCGCTTGTATAAAGAAGAAAAAGTATTGGCCTTAGCACAGATCCTTGTGGAACTCCACTAGTAACACGATGGCTAGAAGAATAGGCGTCTCCAACACGGACGGAGAAAGATCTGTCTAACAAAAAAGCTTCAATCCATAACAACAAATTTCCCCTGATTCCGAGATGTTCAAGCTTGTGCAGGAGCCTTTTATGCGGAACTCGATCGAAAGCTCTGGAAAAATCCAGAAAAACCACGTCGACCATTTGCGTCTAAAGATCTGGTCCAATTGTCAATGCAGTGTAACATGTTGGTGATAATTGATCTACCAGGAATAAAACCATGTTGGTTGCCACGCAGCAGGTTGTTCTTGAACGCAAATGTCATAAGTTGTTCCTGGACGATCTTTTCGGCTATTTTCGCAGCTATAGGCACAAGACAGATAGGACGGTAGTTTTTCGCAGATGTTTTATCTCCTTTTTTGTATATAGGTGTCACAGATGCAGTACGCCAACAGGAAGGAAGGATGTGATTTTGAAACGAGGAGTTGAATATAATGCACAGGGGGTATGCGAGAGCTGAAGCACAGGACTTCATAACGGCAGAAGTAATCCCATCCTTTCCAGGGGACGAACAAGTTTTCAGTTTAGTAAGGTGTCTCTCAATGTCCTGAGGTTGAAAATCTATGCTACAGATGGTCGCTAGGCATCTATGAGGGCTGGATAAGTTCGGAAGAGTACCATCACCATCAGGTTCATTCACAAAGTCTCCACTGAAAGCATCGGCAAGAAGATTGGCAGATTTTTCGGCATCAGTATGTAGGTGGCCATTGGGATCACGGATTTGTGGGGAAGAAACCTTAGAGTTCAGGGTGGATCTCAAGTATCTAAACAACTTCTTCTTATCTTTCGATAATACAAGATTTTGATCATAATTGCGCTTGGCGTTTTTCAAGTTCTTCTAAAGGATGTTAGAGAAAGATCGATGAGATACATAATCCTGTTGTAGTCTACTTCTTTGGAATCTTTGCCATAACGCTTTTTTATGCCTCCACATCCTTGAGAGGTTATGGTTAATCCAAGGCTTTCTTGGGTGACTGAATATCTTCTTTGCGGTCGTATGCCTAGTGACTTCCAGTTGGATTCGACGAGAGAATATATCCCACATATCTTCAGTGCTACGTTGTGCAAGCAGGTTGGACCAGTTTATTTCAGACAATGCTCGATTGAGAGCACTGTAGTTTAATAGCTTCACAGTTTTGAAATGTCTACGTGATGGAGTTTGTACATAGAATTGAAGTGAGGTCAATAAGGTACAGTGATCCGACTTGCCAAAAGGAGGTAGGTAGTCTAGACTGGAAACAAAGTCAGGATCATTTACAAATATCAGGTCGAGAGTTCTGGGAGTTTGGCCTTCTCTGAATCTCGTCGGATGATCTACGAGTTGGAGGATGTTCGACTTACGCATTAAATCAATATAAGGGGCAGAAGGAGAGTTGCATTCTGGTTATGTTGTCATGGGCCAGCTGATGTCACGTAAGTTGAAATCACCAGTTAACAGAATGTTTGAATTCTTGGTTAGAAGTTCATCGATGAATTTACACAAATAAACATCACCAGCACAGGGACGCGGTCTGTAGATACAGGCTAATACAAAACTGAAGTTTGGCCGGGTTAGTTCCAAAAAGAGACTGTCGATACCATCGAAGCTCTTGGAAGTAGTAGTTATTGTGAAATTGTCAGCAAATTCGGTACGTACATAAACACAGACCCCACAATACCCCGGCGTGCGAGGGGAATCTACCCTATACAAACAGTAACCAGGCAAATTAACAACATAGTCAGGTATATTAGGGCTGAGCCAGGTTTCTGTCAGACAAAGAAACGAAGGTTTGGTTCCATCAACAAATGCTTGCACTTCGAGAAGTTTAGATACCAGTGACTGTTTGTGTAGCACACCGACACCTCGGTTAGGAGTTTTTTGATACAGAAGATTGCTGTGCAACAATATTGACAATGGATGGTCTACCCTTATCATATTTAATCGTGATATTGCGTTCTCCAGCCGTTAGCCTTCGTTTCAACTCCTCACGTAGTTGCTGCAGCTCATGCATTTGTGACGGTGTTTTGTCGTCCGAAATTTTAACGGAGTTATAGGTAGAGTGGCTTAAAATATCATTCTTCTTGCGTAGAATATTCTTAGCTATTATAGGCGATGCAAAGCCAACCTTTATCAACCGAGGACGAGATGTACCTACAGCACCAAGTCTGGTCATATTGAGGCGGTATCCATTAGCAGACGGTTCGATGTGGTTGATTATGTCTGTTACGGAATCAGAATCATTGTTGCCTTCAGGAAGACCTTTCAGGATAATTAGTAGGTTTAGGTTTGAAACTACGCCGAATGATATCCGCGATGTTGCCAAATTTACAGTTTTTCAGAAACGAATAACAACTTTTCTTTTTCTCATATAATGCTATACATTTTATTTGATATTTGTATTCTGCGAAACACTCTGAATACTTTTTATTAAGCATACTTTGATGTAGACCTCATAATTTTCAAAATATTCGCGGTCAAACATCAATACATATTTAAACGAATAAAAGGTATTTTTTTCACCTAAGCAAGGACCGGTATCAGTGTATGGAAAGTTTAAAAATGACAGAAATGTTTTTTTTCAGAAATTTATTTTTAATGATGGAACCATGGCATTGTAGCTATGATAACTTTCAATTTTCTAAACATTTCCGCATGTCAAAGAGAACATTTATTGATTTAGCAGAAATGATAGGAAAAGCGATGAAAAAAGATATTAGCAAAACCATATACAGGTGGACATTATCCAGTGAGTTTATATGGCCATATTTTAATATTCGTGGTATATGGCTACAGAGGATACTTTGTTAAGCATATGAACTAGATTTAAAGTATCCCCAACAACAGTAATGATTATAACTAATAAGGTGCTCTACTTTATGCTACAACTCAAGTCAGCCTGCATTAAGTTTCCCAAAAATTAAGCTGAAGTACAACAAAAATATACAATACCCAGCAAAATTCTAACTTGTCAGATTTCAAATAATAACCAGAAATATAAAACCACTCCTGAGTTGAGCAAATACCACAGTTTTTCAGTGATAACTATGACATATAACAGCTGATTTATGACGTCACGGATCTTATAACCAAACTGATAACCACACTCGCTTGAACGAATCGGTAAATACCAATCCAAAATGGTAAATACCATTTTCATTTGGTTATTCGCTTGAATTTGATTTATGATTCTTGGTTTTAGTTAAATAAATCGTGTTTTTATTAACTCTACTAACAAAACTTACTGACTTTTCAATGTCAGAAAATTATTTTCGATACCGGTCAATGCTTAGTCGAAAAAATACCTTTTATTGTTATTTCGAAAACTATGAGATCTACATCAGAGTATGTTCAAAAAAAAGTATTTCTCGCAGACTACAAATCTCGAATAAAATGTATAGCATTCCATAAGAAAAACAAAAGTTGCTATCAGTTTCTGAAAAACTCTAGATTTGGCAACATCGCGGTTTTAATCCTACCAATTTTAAAAAAATTAGATGAGTCATTCGTCAGACATTTGATGCATTCCAAACTTTTGTTACAGTCTGTATATGAATTGTGTTTACATGTTTTCAAAAATAATGATAAATTTAAACGATATTCTGATGTACATAATTATGAGAGGTACTAGTAATAATTCGAATGCATTCTTTAGCAAATCGAAAGTAGCATTTCGATCACCTAGCAAAATATTGGTCCTCTTCTCTTCAATAATTTATTTTATTAAGTCGATTAAAAATGTTAATCAGTTCAAGTTCCATTTAAAGCAATTTTTGGTACAATTTAATTTTTAATCATGTTTACGATTTTTTGAACATAGTAATTTGAGATTATTTGTAGGTTGTAGGTTACGTAGAATTGTCTATTCCAATACAATTTTAAATTGTCAGTATGGTATTGGGTTTGTTTTCTAAGGTCTATATCACGAAGATCCTTGTTACCGATTTCCGTCGGTCGGTGGGTTTATTGACGTTTTCTACCTTTGTAAGCTCCGACCATTATGCTGTAAGGTCATCGTAGATAAGGCATAATGGCTGAGTTATGCGCAAAAAACAAAGTGGTTACAGACCTTTCATAAATTTTGTTTATGTTCCTGTTTACAGCTTTATGGTAATTTTTGGCCACGGTCAAAAATAAATTATGATACTCGAATAGCATTTGTTTATCAAGCATTTTCAATTTATACGTATGAGAAATTTGAAAACGGGAACAGGAGAAAATGATGGAAAGTATACTGCTCATTCCTCCGCAATTCTTTATAACTCCGCCCTCAAAGAGCATTGCTTTCAAAATGATCAAAGAATTACCTACAATGACTGCACAATTTAATTTTAGTGTAGCGGATTATGAAAATACATAGTGACACGCTCTGAAAAATTTCTGTCACGAACTCAAAAACTTTGCATTCACAACACTTTTTTGTGTAAACCGCTTAGTTTTTGATTAGTGCTTAGAAATATTTATTTTATTGGCGTCAAACATTCAAACACACTAATAAAACTGTATCTAGGTGCCGAAAAATAATGGTAGGTAGGCATAAGATAAAATAGCAGGTCTTTATTGTACCATTATAAACAGTGAAAATGTGATGCAAATGGCGGAGTCTATCCTTTGGCTAATCTATTTCACCGGTAACTCAATAGTGAAACAAAATCTAAATGATGAAGTATTAAATGCAACCAAATATACTTTTGTTATTGCATACTTGAAAGATATTGTTTCAAAGTAGACTCATTTGTTGCATTCCTAAAGTTGATGTCTAATGTGCTCGTATTATAACATTTAGCTGTCTTATACGAATAAGACCGCTGAAACACAGCGGTGCGATGTCTTGATATAGATGATATGTTTATGTTATTATAGTCGATTTTACAAATGACAAACGGATATATTTGAATAGGTTGTCAATTTTGAGACTTCCTATCTTCGATATGACCAGTTTCATGATTATATTTTTCTGAGATTATGAGTTAAGCGGCACCAAGAATTTTGAATTTTTTCATTTCTGAAGGCAAACATTTGATTTAAACAAGGATAATATATGGTGCTTCCATACCAAATTTTTTAAAGAATTCATGACATATGCTTTTTTTGTTCTAAAGCTGAAGAAATGTATTAGTGGAATATTTAGATTTTTCTTTATTTCTGTTCATCGCTGTATCGAATTTGCACCGATTTTGTAGTCATTATAACGTTACATTACGTATCCTCACCAGAAACAATTAAGCTGTATTTTGTGATAAAACTGCAAGTCGTATTAACTTAAATCGGAGAACACAATACTTCTTTCCACGAGTAACTTAACCAATGAAATACATGCAAGTCGTTTTATAAAAAAAGATTTTTCTGTGATATTAAATTATATTGCAGATCTAATATATGAATTTGGATAAATCTAAACTTAGTCTAGGTCTTTCCTACTTCATGCAACTTGTATATTATTAAAAAGTTACCGTACATTCCATGTCCCCAGTCCGATTCCAGGCATCTTCTTGCCTCCAGGCATATCCATGTAAACCATACCCATTTTCACTTATAATTACTTAATAACCGGAACTTAGTGAAACTCTTACTATGATCAAGTGGATAGAGGGATGGTGATATTCTTGCATTTATAGTTTAATTTGACGTGCCCTCTTGAGACTAGATGCTAGTTATTTTTTTAATGTAGTAATAGTCCAGCAAAATTAGTTATGACCGAAGACAAGAAAACCAGTTAATCTTCTTACCATCAAATCTTTCGAATTAATCCAGCCAATCTATATGAAGTTATATCTATACTCTGGAGAAAATGTAGAGGAGAACATTCTCAGTGAAAATCTGGCAAAATACAAGAATATGCGTCGTGGAAAAATCCTTACTCATAATTTTCATCAGTTAAAGCTATTCATAAAATCATTTTATATTTTGTTCATGTAGGTATTTCATTCCTACTGGAAAGAAACTCAGCCTATTCCCTTGATCTGAAAATATCTACAGTTTCGCATATTTGTTTCCAATTTCTATTTATGCGACACTGACTATTTCTTGTGAAAAATATGTACCTATGTTCACACTTAAAGAAACAATAAAATTTAAGAAGAAAACAAAATTTGCATGGATTTGAAAGAATTACTATATTTATAGTATTCATAAAGTTTACATTTAATTATTCATCTTATCTTAATAAAATGAACTGGATATCTTTTCATCTCATTTAAAAAGCAACAGTAAAATTGTAGAAATAAAATACTTTATTATGGTAATTAGTAAAAAAGTAATAAAAATATAAGTATAAAATTATTTGATCTCTGCATATACGCATATTTATTAACTTTAACCATGTTTTGTCAAATTTTATATTTTAAGTATTTGAGCGTAAAAAATAATCAGTGGTCCGTCAAAAAATAAAATCATTACCTCTGCCTCCTCCCGCTACACCTAGAAAGCTATTTTAAAAATGTCTCCATTTCATAAGAATAGCTGTAAGAAAAAATATGTTTCTGGCTTATATTTGTTGCTTTGTACATTTTCAGCGGTAGAAATGGAAAAATTATTATAAAAATATTTTGTACTATTTCCATTAAACGACAACACTTTCCTAATTGAAAAAACCTGGCAGCGGAGCAGTAAGGCCAGAACACTTACCAGTGATCCCAGAAAACATAAGCAGTAACGCATACCAAAAGCATTTCTCTATCATTCCGCTTTAAGGGCATATATACGGGGCAATCTATGATGTGTGAAATATGTCTAATAGGTGAGTAGAACTAATGAGATATAAACATACTAAAATATATTACCTAATTCTCCACTACCCCCTACAATTCCCATCCATCAATTGTTTATTCCTTAAAAACTTCTCAAAAATCATCAGGACTCAAGAACTAATAATAACCTTTTGTGAAAGTTTCATCAAAATCCGATCGGTACTTTGCAAGTGACTGATGGGCTAAGGATTAGACAGACATACCGACAGATAGACCGCCAGACAGACAGACCGACGGAAATGCCACAAAATCCAAAATACAATCTCATTTTCGCTATAACAATATTTCCTCGCCAGTAGGCGTGGGTAGTTAAAGCTCTCACTTAAAACTGTATAGCCATCTTGACCCGCAGAAGAGATTTTAAGATTTAAGAAGTATTTGAAAATTGCAACAAAAAGAAAAAGAAGATATCTGAAATTTATTATGTCCAATGTCAAGGTGCACTTTTTTGACGAGATTGAAAATCAAGCTTCGCGTGAATGTAGATGTAAAGAAAAAACACAAAATTGCTTCATTTTTATCGCATTTTCAATAACAACTTGAAGATTTGATTTAAGCGCTCCAAAATTTATTTTGTAGGTATACTAAGTGACATATAAATCCGAACACCCAGTTTAAATGGTTTTATTTTAATAAAAGTTGGTGAATGTATTTATCTTACTGTAAATAACAAGTGAAAAATTTTTCAGTCTTATCAGTTGGACATTGCGGTTTTTATACTGCTTTCTTTTAATTCACTAACGCTCTAAAAATGAATATTTCAGCCGCAGTAAAGAATCAACGTTGGCGGATTTTGGTTCTTGACATCCTTTACGATCGGTTACGATGCCTAGAGTACGGAGACCTGTACGATTTCGTCAACTTAGTGAGTTTGATAGGGGCCGTATAGTGGGAGTTCGGGAAGCTGGACTTTCTTTTCGGGCAATTCCAGTTAGAGTGCAAAGAAGTGTAGACACTGTGGTTAGGTGTTGTCAGGCATGGCTTCGAGAAGGCCGTACGCAAAGAGCAAGGGGCACTGGACGCCGCCGTAGAACAACAGACCGTGAAGATCGCCGCCTAAGATTATTGGCCTTAAGGGACCGTTTCTCCACTACCAGGTCCATTGCAAATGAATGGTTTGCAGAACACGGAAGACCTATTGGCATGCGAAGTGTTTACCGACGAATGAGAAGTTTTGGCTTGTTTTCATACCGGCCACACTGGGTCCTCCCTTTAACTCGAGAACACCGACGTAATCGCTTTGAGTGGTGCAGACAACGGTCACTCTGGGATCAGGAATGGAACAGTATTGTCTTTAGTGACGAGTCTCGATTTTGTTTAGGCATGCACGATGGTCGTGCCAGGGTTAGAAGGCGACGTGGTGAAAGGAGGAATCCACAGTTTTTTTGTTGAAAGACATGTTCATCATACTTTTGGAGTTATGGTTTGGGGTGCTATAGCTTATGGTTCCAGGTCACCTTTAATCTTCATCAGAGGTAACATGAAGGTGCAGCGTTATATCCACGAAGTTCTAGAACCCCATCTTCTACCCTATCTTGACACCCTGGCACATCCAACTTTCCAACAAGATAATGCCCGACCACATGTTGCAAGAGACAATAGACTTCTTTCAACATAATGATGTCACATTGTTACCATGGCCACCAAGATCTCCCGACTTATCCCCAATTGAGCACGTGTGGGATATGATGGGTAGGAGATTGCTCAATTTGCAATGTCCTCCTCAGACTCTAGAAGCACTTCGAGAGGAGTTGGTGGTTGCCTGGAATGAGATACCACAGGAGGACATTGACCACCTGATCAGAAGCATGCCTAGGCGCGTTGGAGAATGCGTAGCACATCAGGGTGCATCCACACATTATTAAAGGTCAAAGGGCTTTAAAGCAGTGCAATCATTTTGAAATTTTCATCATTTACTTATTATGCTTCATTAAGTACTTATACAAAATTTTATTAAAATAAAACCATTTAAACTGGGTGTTCGGATTTATATGTCACTTAGTATATTTTCGAATCGAATAAGAAGTAAGTCGCATTCCGGCAGCAATAAGATATTCATATGAAAGGAGTAAACATTATTTTTACACCTTTCAGTAATACAATAGATCGAAGACTTATTTTCTAGCTGGATCCATGTTCTTGTTCTTTGACACTTCTCCAGCAAATATTTTTTTATGTTAAAATATTTATTGGTTTTCTGTGTCAGACTGTCCTCTTGTAAGTGGTTGCTAGTAGGCTGAATAGTTATTAAACTGTTATTACCTCGTGCACCCACACTATATAGTCGCCAAGTCCTTTTGTTTTTGTTTCATTTGTCAGTTCCTCAATAAATAAATAATATGCGGTTAATTGGCCTCAGATCAAAATATTTGTTTAGACAGACTTATCATAACGGAGATATCCGTGATGAGTATCTTAGTAATTAGGTAGTGATTTATTGTCAGGATGAACTAAATAGAGGATATTTTTACAGAATATCCGCAAAAATACAGCCAATTAGTTGGGTATTGCACAGATGAGCGCGGGACCAGGTACAAAAATGAGCCATCGAAGTTGCGTACACCTCTTACACTTTGTGGACTCTAAAAATACCGAATTGCAACGTTGTACTATTGTACTAAATGTAACCTGCCAAAATCACGTAACCTTTTTAATACTATTTTGATCACTTACCAGTAATTTGAATTTATCTTTATTAACGGTAGAGTGCTGATTCCTAGGCCGAACTCTCAGTATTGTATGAAGTCTTCTGAACACTGATATTATAGTATTATTAACGACTCAAAAATTTCCTCATAAAATATCGTTCGTCCCTCGTAGAGTTGGTTTTCTAGGGTCCACCATTGGCAACAGCGCCACTCTGTAATTTCTCTGCGTACTAACATATGTAAGAATATTCGGTTTCCTACCAAGATACCTTCTTTACCTGTAACAATACCTTCTTTAATGGTTTTTCTCCGTTTCTTTATATGTGCTGTTTGTCGAGTTAATATATTGAGATTTTTTTTAATATCTTGTTTTATTTGGCTCTCTGTGCACAATTAATTAGGTTTCGTATCCGCTGTTAGATTCTTTTCTTTTGTGTGGTGGTCAAGCAAAACAAGTTCTGACTTACATCTCGGGGATGTGTGGTTTAATCTGTCTTAAGTCACTGGCGCTCTTAACCCCCCAAACTACTCTCGGCTTTATTGAGCAGGGGATTAAATTTGCACGCCAATAGACAGCTATTTTGCATTGACTGACCCTTAGATTTCATTTATCGTGTTTTCTTAATTCATTTATCAATTAAAAAAAAAGTCGTGGCATAAAACCTGAGACTAAAAAGTAGAAGATTACTGTCAAAACTTTAGCCAAATCGGACTCGTAGTTTTGTTTTGACCGCGCGTGTAAGCGAGCGTGTCCGCGGATTTTAGAAAAATGGAAAAACAGCATATTCAATTTTGGTTTTTGATCGTCGTCGCAGATCGATTTTTGATGAGCCACGGCCAGGTGCCCCGAAAACGGTTACCACAGAGGATAACGTGACAAAAATGCAAGATGTCGTATTGGAAGACCGCCGATCGAAGGTGCGCGAGATAGCTGAGACACTAGGCATCTCAAACAACCGCGTGAGATCACTTCAGAGCAGTGTTTGACGCTGTTTAAGCGCAATCGGAAGGAGTTTCTGCAACGTTTCGTCACCGTCGACAAAACATGGATCCACTGGTACATACCAGAGACCACCTGTTGTATCGGTCAGGAAAGGCGACGACTACCATTTTCTGTGATTCACAAGATGTGATCGACATCTACTACATAGAGAATGACGAAACACTAACAGGGCTCTACTATGCCGACTTATTGGGCCGATTCGACGCCAAATTGCAAAAAAGCGGCCCCATTTGGAAAAGAAAAAATTG